GAACGTAAAACAAACTGGAGGCTGGCTTGACTGCAAGTCTCGAATTGGAGGCTGGCTTGACACCAGTCCTATACTGCAGCTGAAAGTGAAACTTGCCCTGATTCCAAGTCCCTCCCATAATATGGTAGCTAAATACAGGCGGAGATGTGGCATAGACGCAATGGTCAACTTCCCTGGTGCTTTCCAAACAGAGCAAACAATGGTGACTTGATACTTAAGGTTGGTTAAATATAGCTTGCCACACTCAAGCGCTTACATTTCACTGAGACTTCCACATCCTCTTGTCTCGTTTGCAAGATACTGCATTCTTCAGACCACAAAGAGGAACTGCAGTTTTTAAAAAAGCAGAAGGTTGAATAGAAAGGGTAATTCGGGGTGGGATTTTTTTCTCTCTCTTCTTTTAAAGAAAGTGGCGGAAACTTTTACGGGTCCTAGGTATTTCCAATCCTCATCGCAGTTTGGTGTTGCAACCACTTGATGGAACTATTGCATAAGAAAACAACATGGTGTCGGCACAGATTTTCCACTTTTAGCAGTTTCTTTTTGTATCACTAAAGCTGTCTTCTTCGAATCAATTCAATCAGAGCTCAAACTGTGTCTGTGGGCACAAGATACTGCGGTTCAATTAGAAATCAAGCAGAAAATCCCAGCAGATTCATAAAGAGGTTGTAGGAAATCATCTTGCTACGGTATCAGTTTTACAATGTTAGAACAGAAACTGAGAACCTGCAGTGTAGGCTGCATGCTGTGCATCTGATCTAAACTTCAAAAAAACCCAACCCTAAAACCGCACATAATGCTCCTTACTCCCTCTGCATTCTTTGAAGCTGAGATAAAATAGGTGCGAGAGTGACTTTTCGGGCAGTCATATATTTATCATTTTCATTATTACAGCTCCCTCCTGAGTAACATGATTAGCTTATTGTGTGTGTTCGCTGTGCCCTGTTCGAGAAAATCCTCAAACACTCAAGGGCAGGAGTAATCAAAGACAAACTGGAGTAAAACTTTCAAACGGGAGTTTCTCTTCTTCTTTTGCTTGTTCTTCTTGTCTGAAAACAGGCAACTCCACCAAGGGGAGTGTAATGCAGAGTGCTCTCTGTCAGGCATCTTACTTGAAGCTTTAAGGTGGAGTTCTGTTATCCAAATCACAGCAGGGGGGTCGAGAGAAGTTTCAACACATAAGAAAAAGGGTAAAATAATGTCGAAAATAAAAAAAATAAAATACACACACGGTCCCAAAAGACATAGCTGTATATTTCTGTGCTCTGTTTAGAGACAGTTCCAAACACTTTTTTTATTGCAGGAAAAATATGTAACTCCACTTCATTTGTTTGGACTATATAATATTCTTCATTATTAGTATTATTTTTATATTATTAGGAGCTGTTTTGTTGTTCAATCACTTTAAAGACAACTATATATATATAAAAAATTCTTTATCCTTCAAGTAGAGGTCCTCTGCCAGAGGCCTGGGAGCTTGATGGTCCTGCACAGTATCTTAGCTGTTCCTGGGACTGCGCTCTTCTGGACAGAGATGTTGCTCTTGGGATGTGCTGGAGCCACTCACCTAGCTTGGTGGTCACGCCACCAAATGCTGGGATTACCACTAAGACTACTGTTGCCTTCATCCTCCACATCTTCTCGAGTTCTTCTCTTAGCCTTTGGGACTTCTTCAGCTTCACATGTTCTTTCTTCCTGATGTCTCTGTCATTCAGTATAGCTACTTCTATCCCTATGGCTGTCTTCCTCTGTATGTGTATGCGTGTTTGTGTATGTTATTTATTTATTTATTTTTCATGACAAGCTTGAAATCGCAAATGACATCAAATTACGCTTGAACCACAGGATCTAATCCTTATCTTGGACTTTATTGGACATGAGTGTTAAGTCTTGACCCACCCAGCACTAAATAACCTCACCCACTAAATCAGCTTTAAACTGCATGTCTATGAGTAAGAGTGCAGCTCGGGGCTGGATCCTTCTCAGTCCTGTAACAGAGATGGAATACTTTGGCTGCAGCCATTTTATCACTGTGCATTCTTTCTGTGCAGATATCAAAAGCACATGTTGTGAGCTCAGTGTTAAGCCAGGTGCACTGATGGGCTGTTTGTGTACTGATTGCTTTACCAGAGATTCAGAACTCCCAGAAGCAAGCCAGCATGTTTCATTTTAGTGTAATCTTACAGTTACACAAAGTTTGCTTGTTTTTAAAACATATGTAGTGAACTTTGAAACTACTATATTGCAAAAAAAAATAACATAACATAACATAACATGATATGACAAAATCAAACAGTCAAATAATCAGAAGCTGTAAATGATCACTGTCAGAAATTCGGTACAATGACACCACAAACATGAGCACACCGATTTGCATTATTGTTAAAATGCATTGACTTAAAATCAGTCAGCTAACAGTTTATGTTTTGTATGAGATAGTGCTTCCTTAGCAGGTTACTGAAATTATAGTGGCACTTTGTCAAAAAGACTTTGGAAAACAGTCATATCTTTTTTACAATTAAAAGTTTCATATTTGTTTCAGAGATCAGTTCCCATAACTCCTAGACATAATTCTCTAGGAAACATAAATAAGAGAATATTAGAGATGTTTTAATCAAAATACAGAGAACTCCAAACCAGTGATGCAAAAAAAAAGCATTCTTCCCAGTGTGCTTGTTTACACAAGCAGTAAAACTTTTATTTTAACAGGTTGCAAACTAAAAACAACAAGGCAGCCATGTTATCTGTGGT